CACAAATAAAATGGTTTGTAAGCATTTGACTGCCGACAAAAATTGTTGAAGGCTAAGTGTTAAAGTGCCGGAGCATTAATTTGAACAACCAATATAATCTAGAAATGCTAGACCTTAATACAAATATTAGTAGTAAACTATACAAAACACCGTTTACAGTTAGAACTGCAAAGTAATATAATTCAAATCACTCAATATACAATAACATAACCCGTACTGAACACAATTTAAAATTGTAAGCCGATCACGTGGATCACCACGACACAAATCAAAATGTCCATCGACTGAATATGTATCGACAACATTCAAAGTTTGACCTATTCCTATCGGTATCTCTTACGTAATATTTACACTCGGTGTTAGGCGTGAAACGATAAATGTTTCATGTCACTGTAACGGAAGCCACGATATCAACAATCCAATTGTTTCTCACCGACCGCAGTTTGCTTTGTAAATAAAAATTTGCTTCCTTATTCGTTTAGTCCATTTGCAGATGATAATTTTAAACTGCAATGCTGTTTGGCGTGACAAGAACATTGTTATAGTTAGACGCTGTAAAGATTATTTTATGTGGTATATTACGTTTATCGTATCAGTGATAAAACAAATGAACTCATGCTGCTATAAATTATAATAATGTAGCATTCAAACGAGTTAAATAGCATAATACTTTATCTGGAGGTGTTTGCTTTGAAATGAAGATACACTTCGAAATTCGACAGGAAAAAGCACTCATCGACCCTTAATCAGCGTTTGACAGGGATCACGTCTGGCCAGTACAAACATGTTAATCTGGGTTTCCTGTTTTCTTCTGGGCTTGTGTATGACCGGTCAGGTGAGGCGGACTTTCACCAGTGGACGATGACGACCGATAACCGTCGATAGCTGAGGTCGCGCGTCTCGGCGTCCCACAGGGTAACGAACTCGGTCCTATTATATCTTATACACATGTACACATGCACTCAATTGCGCGCCTTAATGGCCTGTCGTTTGTATCGATTCACTTCATGCTGTTGTTAAAGGGCCGATACTTATCTTTAATAGGGCTAATAGTTAAGTAGTCATATTAAATGTTTTACGAAGAATATCTTTGTCAATATTTGTTATGTCTTGTGTGTGTCCTACCTGTCTGATTTTGTGAATTTCTAGTAGTGCGAAGCAATTTTAAACAGATATGAGTTTGAAATTAACGCGACTACACGAGTCCTATCAAAATAATTAATTCCCCACCAAAATTACACACATTGATGTAATTGTAAATAGTGACAGCATAAAACCCCTATCTTTTATAGTATTTGATAACTGGACAGATAGCATATCTGTGGAGTCAGTTATTTCTGGTTTTGCAATCAGGCAATTTTTATTCGGATTGTCACGCTAGATGAGAACAGCTACAAGTACTAGTGCTTAATATTCAACGGCACTCCATGCAAAGAAGCCGGCCTAGTAATATATTCCTAATGCGTAAGTTATAATTCTCATTGTCGTAACTTGCCATTATTCGGGACAGATCCAATGGTTCTTAATTCACATTACATTTGAATTAGTTTATTGTATTGTTATTAATTTGATTTTAAATCGTAGAACGTTTATTGAATTTTAAAAAGGTTCTTCAAGTTATTTTTAGCTCAGTACATTTTTTTTTCTATTGTGTCGTAAAGTTCATAGTTAACATCAAGAAGGAAATGGTTGTAATTATATTATAACCAGTTGTTTTATGGAGCTGCCCTTTACAAGGTTATAAAGCAGACGCCATACTATCACTATCTTTATAGTCATCAAGGGAATATATAGAGCAGGAAATAAAATTATGAATAAAATGAGGATAACTGCTGTTCCTACGTATTTCAAGGTTAATATTTGTTTTCTTACTGTTAAGTAAAGAGTGTGCGAGGTTTCAGAAGCTTTTCTATACTTTAACACATGTGTTCAAACGTCATATTTATAAGTAGTTTTGCGCTTTTCTTTTCTGAAATGAATACGAGTGTTTATGAGTGCATTGCTATAAAACAACCAGAGCAAAAGCACCAACTGTTAACAGTACCAACTATTAGAAACCTACGATAGCAACCACAACCATTGTTCAGTCTTCGTTATCACTTCAGTAGTATACGTCAAACGCAGAGTGAACACGATTAAAAATCGCAAGGACGGAGCTATTTTTAACGTTCCAACGTGCTCGAGTGAATGTCTTAGTGCGAGGTGCGTCGGTAATCGTTACATGTGGTACGTAATCGATACGTGTACTAAATGTAAAGAAACGTAATTTTGTGTCAAATCGTTTAAGGTTCACTTTACTATCGTTCGCTTGCAACTTCTATTCAATAGACAATAATATTTTTTCAACCAAGTATGTATATTAATAATCTATGCACGACTCCTTCAATAGCTAAGATCATATCTATAAGGGCTTAAACAAAACTTCCTTATTGTCCGTCTTATTACAATCGACACTTAAAATGACGTCAATCACTTTTCTAAAAAAAAAACTATAGAATATTTCGCAAAATTCGAATTATTAATTATTAAACAATATCAGTGAGTAAAATAAATACTCCAAAGCTACACCAAACCACAATTTGCATAGACCAATAAATACCCGTGACCCCTCTGCGAATCAAAAAGGAATATTAAGTGGGTCCACATCGCCAGATGTACTCGCCCAAGGACAAGTTTTACTATCCCAATTTATTATTTCCTGTGAACAGTCAAAGCATTTTATATGACAGTATAACAGCTATTGTGCGCGTAAATCATATCTGCATTGTGCATAAAATGAACGCGAGAACATAATACAAATCAAATCAACGGGTAAGGAGTCCCTCAAGGTTTTCTCGGACATGAGAAAAGCGTTCAATATTGTTAATTACAATTGATTTTCAATTCAAATGTAAATATTTATTTGCAGTTACTTCACTTTGTAGGAGGAAGTAAGTTTAATGAAAACAAAGTCCGTTTAGGCGAACCCTAACGTTGTAAATCCATAAATTATATCGTTTATATACCAATTACAATATCTGATTTCCATTACATAAACGTTAACTTTCTACCGTAATTTGGAAACAACCGAATTGGATAAACAAATTGTGTATGACGGCCAAGTATTCGACGTTCAAAGTATTCAACAATTATCTTTACGTGTACAAGAATTTCCAACGCACGTTTTAGAGTTATTAAAGGTTTGAGTTTTCTCACGTTAATCACTTTAAACTTTACAATTGATGGTTTTGTAAGGTGCGTTACGTAGATTACTGCGGTTGTATTTCTTAGGGCTTCCATAACTTAAATGAAATTAAGGTTATTGTGTGCGTTTGTTAAATACTTTTTCTAAAAAACACAACCTTTTTTTAGAATTTCATTTATTACTGCAGAGGTATCTATTTCCTTTTTAAAGAAGTTAAAGTAATCAGTCATCAGCAAATTTATCTGTTAAGACATGTTCCTATAGATGTATTGGAGGATGTAGGTAGATATAGATTTATGACCGTCTATCAAAGTTAAATTTAGCTTAGCATGAAATTTTACGTAGATCATCCAACATTCTAGTTAACAAAAAATACTTCAACATACCACTAACATTTCAACTAGTCATAATCAAACGACCTAATATCAATCGGGGTTTTATGGTGACGAGTCACTATAGCACCCTAATAAAACATTACACTAAATGCTACATGCTCGATTAATACGCCCATAACCAAATGCGACGATAATACCAGCACTAAAATAACAAAGTCATAGCGTGGTGCTCTAGTGTGATCAATCGGAGCGTATTTACTGCTCCGAATAAATTAGTTTTATGTATTTTGGCAGTAATATGCTAACTACCAGTGATAACGACCATAGTTCACATCAGCGATAATTTTCGGCGACTTGGATTTGCATTGGTTAAAGTTTGATAATTATTCGATCACTCCTTGCGGCTTTACCATTATATTCATAGAACTGTTAATATCAGTATTGTATGTGCCGATAATAGTTTAAACGAGGCATATAAACATATCACTAGTCGCCACAAACACCGCAGACCGGAAACTAAAACCCGTGCGTAATATACTTAGAACTGCACTGTGTCATTTAATAGCTATCAAAGAAGGCCTCACTGATTGTCTAGTACAAATAATAAATTCATCTGCAGTACCTACTGCCCACGGAGAAGTAACAGAGGCAAATAGATTAGAGCGGTCTAATAGGCGGTGGACTTTGTCAATTTAAAATGGACTAACGATACTGTACTGGTAGCATGCGTCTTAGGCTCCGATATTCCGTGAATATATTTTGTGTGTACGGTTTTGGATTTATTTATTTTTGTCTGAGGTGAGAAATTTTACATTTTCTATCAATTTGGTCTTCGAAGTCAACTTAGTGTCTTTTCCCCATTGTCTATTTTGTTTTCTCCGTATGGTGTTAAGATTTTTGTCAGCTACTAAAAATGTTTTATAACATAATTTGCTACTTTATTCTGTCCGACAAATGTGCAAATGTATTTACACAATTTTATGTATTCACTGACGCGACTATTTTACGATTGAACATGTTATGGCATTTGGTCCATAAAATTTTGATTTCGATCTCGAAATATTGTCCGTGACTCACAGGCTTAGGACTCGGGAATTACAATTATATGATCAACTACTTCCGTGATGATCGGTGTAACTATGTTACAAGGACTGACATTCTTGACAGAGATTTGTGTTTCTTTAGATTTAAACTACGCAAATTGCAAGTAAATGATCAACAAATACAATTTATCAGTGTTTTGTAACAATGTACGTTTTGACATTTTAGATGGATTTACAGTACTTATTATTCTATGTTAGTGTCTACTAAAACTACGTCTAGTAACAATAAATTAACTTGTCTTGCTAACAAATAAATTCACCTCGGCTTTAAAACATTTTTTATAACCCGTTAAACAAACATCAGTTGCATTAATATATTTAATTAAAGTCAAGCTTTCTTCAATATAGCGAATAAAAATTATTAAATTTTTATTTTCTGATTGTTGACAGGCATGAAAATGACTATGTCTACGACACCGACGATGAGTGCTCGGGTACACAGGAAAGTGATGAGGGCGCCGCATAAGCGGGCCCACCCGGGTAAGACGCAACACCCGGGCAAAATGGTGCACGCCGGGAAAATTGCGCACCACCCGGGTAAACTGGCACATTTAGGCAAATTCGGGAAACTCGCGCACTACGCTCACACGCACGCCTTGCGGCCGCCGGAGCCGTGCGAGAACAGTAACGACAGCGGCCTAGGACCCGACGCCGGCAACAGGTAAGACCCTAGTAGCTACTCACGCGCTTCGCAACACATCTACTACACAGGTTCACATTACTACGGTAATCGCTTGCATATGGTTCTAACACTCCTATGGTGTCCCACGATCCTTGAAGGATTCACATTGCTCCTACCCCACTAACACAATGTACTTGCTTAATAGAGCTTTAGAACACGCCTCTTATCGTGATACACCTTCGTGCTTATAGCATCATAATGGTTCACAAATGTTTGTTGATTCTGAGAAGATGGAACCCCCGCGAATAGTTGTGACTAAATAACCTAGTCTGACTCCACAACGTCAGCGTGCTCATCATTTGTGTGATTTATTAGCATCGATATGCTGACGGATAAATTTAGATCGGCTATTGGTGGCGCGTTTCTATTATACACTCCCCCATCTATATTTTAAATGTTTACTTAAATAACTATATTCGTTTCTAGTAACAATACTTCCCTGTGATCATGCTATCAATTGTCCTAACTTTCAAAGTTATCTCAACTACTATTCTTCCATCCTATTCATCAAAACTATCCAAAATCATTTCTATCAAAACTAAAGATTAAGACAAATTGAAATTAGTATAAAAAGCACCAATCCGTGCATACTGGTCAATTAAAAAATAAAACAGCATTCATCTTCAGTTGTAGTTAATTTAAAATGAGGTATTAAAACATTTATGCTGTGAAGTTGTGTGTAATGTCTGTGTCTCCATCATTATTTATCTATTAGCTGTTGTACAGCTGCTTAGTCACCTAATTTGTACGGGCTCATAACCGCAGACTCAAATCTATTCGAATTCTTAACCATATGACCTTCGGCAGTATTAGATATATTTGATGCGCACTCACGTCCGTGTACTGGCGAGTCGCGTGCGCACACGTCCTTATCGATCGTTAGCAACGCGAGTTTATCGCTATCCATCTCAAGTCTTTAACTACTCGATTTTTATCACTCAACTAGATTTTTATCTATTGTAAGCAGTTAGAAATTCGGAGATTCAGACATACGACAATTTTATAGCGGTCGTTAAATGAAGTATGGACGTGATTGTGCTTGATTTGATGTAGTTTTAGTTTTCATTACTGCAAAATATTTTCTCTGGCTTACAAATGCTCCACAAATCACGATGATACGATCAAAAGCAAAGTTTACAAAGCTTTACAACTCGCACCTCGACAAAGGGCACGTAAACAATACAAAGCAACCTTAAACTAGCAAATTATTTACAAACAAACACAAATTGACACACACAATTCACCCGTGATATTATACAAGTGGAGTAGTACACAGGTAATTACATAAGTACCTAACTACATGACATAAATGCTTGCGTAATTCGCTATTGTGAAAAGCATACGAAATATTGAATATGTCATTGGCCTCTTATGAGTAATGCCAGACTTTGATCGCTTAGCTTTTTCTTATGATATTTTTGTTACAACTATTTTTAGATATAATTACTTACATATATCTCTATTTCCCTTCGTTTTTCGTCATTTTTAACGAGTACGCCAACGTCGTTGTAACTATTAATTGATGTGGTGATTGCTCATACGGTTTTTGTTTTGTTTTACACTTTTTTATGTACAAGTCTTCTTGCAAAATGATAAAATTATGTCGTATGCAAAAATGCTAAGACAATTAATTTCAAGAGACTACAAAACTTTGAAACTGTATCAGATTTTAGACATTAAGTTCATTTTAAAGATTCACAGATGAGTAACTCATTAATGTTTCGTCCGCTACATGGCACGAGTACACTCAGTAACACCAGACCACCATAATAATAATAAATAACTACCTTAAAACTGCTTGGCTAAAATTACCACTTACAAATAATTTTTCAACTTTCTCTTCTACCTAATGCAAAGTAACATTTAATAGTTTTCCACGTAAACAAGTTTCCACTGTGCGCCCATCTCGTCCCTTGAAATAATTTGCATTTCAATTTAATTAGTATGCATTCTGTTTAAGACTAACGCTGTACATTATCACATTTAAATGCTTGTCGAGATAGAAAATCTTTCTAAAGCTGAAATAATCGATTTCGCTTGGCCTCGTCTCTTGCTCCAGAATCACCTTCGATCTCTTTTGGACTTTTTAATGTCCTTAAACTTACAATCATCAGCCGCAATACATGCGACTTGTGAAAAAGGCCCCCGTCTGAACCTCCTATGGGTTTATACATGACCTCTTACACTACTTACTAATTAAAAACCACCACCAAACACTACCAAAACCAACATTTTTGCGGCTTCAAAATATCTTTACGCATTACGTTCTATAGGAGCACTGCGCCATTTATTTAGTGGTCAGTTGTACCAATCCGCTTCCAATTTAACAGTTAACATTGTAAACTCAACACTAGATTAGATGAGTCGAGCTCCTAGATCAATCGGCCGCACTCATCGCAGCGCAAACGCACCTCACGCTAATATGTATTTTTAGCACGTTTGGCCGCACGTGCGCATGAGTCGCCTATCATGCTGTTACTTCATACGCAAGCGACTAATAAATATTATATTAATTCCCTTTATTTTGGCTTCTCTACTTTCAAGATGCGAAGCTGCTTTATTTGTAATGCAAGCAACAGCTTCGGCGATTATGTCATATATTTTTGTACAGACTACCATGGGGTACCATTTTTCATTTTACAATATAACGCGCCACTACACGACTCTTTTATATACATAGTGAAGGCCACCCTGGCCTGGACGAAGGCGGCTTGAGGCCTGCATTGTAGATAACTTTACCTAAATTTAACTGAAGCCGTTAATGGTGCAGATGTTCGGACACTTTGGAGGAGTGGGAACACCCGGAGTTGAAACGACGACGCAACGACAGTGAAGCGGCGGTTAAACTAGAATGCGACGACGCAAACGACGCATACGCTTTCCGTGCACCGGGCGCGGGAGAACCCGCGTCCGCGACTGTACCCGCGCTGCCTGACGCTACCGCCTCCACGCTTGCGCCGGCGATACCCACCCCCGTGTACGTTCACTATTTTTTAAGAGAACATTTTGTTCTCGAAGGTAACATTGGATCATACATAAAATTCATTTCCAACTTGATGTTATTGACCCTAATCTGACAGAAAAGCACGGATCCTGGATACGGGTAGAACTGGAGACTCCAGAGTGTCCTATTCATAACGCGTTAATATCGCCTTTGTTGATACAAGGCTGGCCTTAATAAATGGTAGCTTAAAAAGCGTTCGTTTGTGCAGTGTCACGAGCATATCCATAAATCCGCATGTTCACCGCATGTAATTGTCGCATCGTTCGTGTGTACGTGTACTGGTGACGCACTGATGGTTGTCCTTACAAATGTCCAGCTAATTGTCTGATGACCGCCGCACTACCATTAATACACATTCATTTGTGTTTATATCACGGCATAATTTGAAAAGACATGTCAATTAAGTGACTAACACAAGGTGCATTGCCAAATATATGGAGATTATCATTATTATTGGGTATTTTTTTCCTTGATAATCCATAAATAAATCTATTTTTTACAGAATGAGAGCTGGTTGCAGTATATCTAGTCCAAACATACCTGAAACTACTGGCAAAAGATTCCAGGATCCATACAGATCGTGCGGGAAGCTCGGCAGTGCTGGGAAGTTAGCCAGCAAATACCCGGGAGGGGGAAAATTAGTTGGTGCTGGTGGGAAACTAGGAGGGAAACTAGCAGGGAAGTGGGGAGGTAAATTAGCACAGGCAATGGCGCGCAGAAGAGTGGTAACGAACATGATACCGGGCGGCAGGCCTGGACTCTCGTCGCCATTGTCCAACCGGTCAAGGGATGGTACAGTGGAGCTGCAGATTCTGTGCCAGCCCGAGACACAACACAGAGCGAGGTAACTATCAAACACCCGTTATTTGTTATTTACTTCAACTTTAAGATATTTCTTCTCCCCACCTCAATATGTACAGAACATTAACGCCTGTTTTTTCATCTAGATATCAGACTGAAGGCAGCCGAGGTGCTGTCAAAGACAATTCAGGGAATGGCTTCCCGACTGTCAAATTACTTGGTTACGACAAACCAGCTGTGCTACAGGTGAGTCGCGTTATATTTAGCAAAATACCTCCCTACTTTTTACACGACGTGATTTATTATTCTTCATTGCTAAACAGTTATACTAGCTTATTGCCAAAATACTTTAATTTATCTCTATAACTTAAAAATTTTATACAAATCAACAAATAATCTCGAAGAAGTCAAATCAATATTCACCTTTGCTTGCTCAATGTCGAAGGTTAAACGTTCAGGGCTGTACATCAAAGGATACGATCTAGTCGCGAGCGTGCGGCGAATGGTAATCTTGATTTACTGCTACTGGCTTTACCATCATTGTAATTGAAAAGAGCCTAATAAGAAAAATACGTTTACGCATCAAAATGCAGTTCAATGGCTAGACAAAAAGATGGACATGTTATTTGAACCTCAAACATTTTAGTATTTTTAAAGCCATTACAAAGACTTCAAAATTTATTCATATTGTTTTTTGCTTCTAACAGGTATACATAGGCACAGACACAGGCAGGGTTGCCCCACACATGTTCTACCAGGCGTGTCGAGTGTCAGGAAAGAATTCCACGCCATGCAAAGAAAGAAAGGAGGATGGCACAGTTATCATAGAGATAGACCTGGAACCAGCCAAGAACTGGCAGGTCACCTGTGACTGCGTTGGGATACTCAAGGTTGGTACACCAATGATATAGGGACATCAAAATTCAGAAACCAGACATTATTTACATCTTCCTTGTAGAATAATTTGATCTAAAACGTATACTCAAATGCCCTTTTACTTCTAGGAACGAAATGTGGATGTGGAACACAGATTCGGTGAAGCACTAGGGGGTAATGCGACAGTAGGCTCAGGTACCAGCGCTGCACACATTTCCCGAGGCAAAAAGAAGTCCACGCGATGCCGTATGGTGTTCAGAACTGATATCATCAACGCTGCCGGCCATACTGAGACCTTACAAGTCTGCTCCACACAAATTATATGCAGTAAGTCACATTTCTTCTACAATTATTATAATATAATTATGAATAATGTAATAGTGAAAATGTCCATGGGATATTTCTCTCTAGCTCAAGCCGAGATCCTGAAGTTCCGAAAAAGGTGGCTTTTGTACTACTTTTAACATCTTTCTCCTTCCCTATTTGCAGCTCAACCGCCTGGAGTTCCAGAAGTATGTCGTAAGTCCTTAGTGTCGTGTCCTGCGACCGGTGGACTGGAGCTCTACCTACTAGGCAAGAATTTCTTGAAGGAGACCCGCGTGGTGTTCTGCCAGCGACAAGATGGACGCACTCACTGGGAGGAGGAGGTCGCGCCTGATAAGGAGTTCTTACAACAGGTTCGTTGAGTTCTTACAAGTTGACCCACGTCAATTATGTTTATTTTAAATGATTTCTAATATAATAATGATGTTGCGCAGACGCACCTAGTATGCTGCGTCCCGCCATACTGCCGCACGGACATATCCGAGGCAGTAGCGGTGCAGCTATTCGTGAGGTCTGGTGGGAAGGCCTCGGAGCCTCACGTGTTCTACTACACGCCCCCCTCCCTCGACACCGGCCCTCAGCACTGCTCGCGACACCACACGCAAGGTAACCCCACTCTCCCTGCCAGTACCCGACCCGCTTGCCTGAGCTTGGAATACAAACTCTTTATGTCAACAAAACCTATAGTTAAAATAAAAAAAAACTTAGTACTTTTCACAGTACACGAAAAATATTCAGATAAGAATCTAACTTTACTTTTACTTTCCAAAGTATATGCAAAAAAAAACCGATAAAAAACATTGCTTTTACTTCTTAAAGTATACGCAAAGTTTTTCAATAATTTTGACATAATTGACATAAAGAATGGCATTTTCGCATATCGTTCTCCATTATATCATAATAAATTTAGAATCGTCATGATGTCTAGATGTCCATGTTCGCACGGATATTTAAATAAATGAATAAATAAAATAATAACTTTCGCTTTATATTTGTGTGCAATACAAAATTGCTGTCAACATAGTGCAAGGCTTGTTGTTTCATTATTCACTTGTATGTTTAGCAAACTGTGAAATGGGGCTACTAGAAAATAATAGAAAAAAGACACATATTATCAAAATAAAAATCATGTTGTTCTTAATCAGCCCTGATTTACAGTTCACTCATCAAAATTGGGACAAAGTAATACAGCTCCGTTTTGCAAAAAAAAAAAACAACAAATGTCTCTCTAACTCTTAGAAACCATTTCGTTTCATTAAACATTTTTATTTTAATAACTTCTCTGTTCTCTTCCTTTCTAACAACTCGTAATACAATTACTAATAAGTTTCTTTTTATTATAATAAGTAACGCTTTACTGAAAGAATAGGCTTGCACATAACCTAAATATTACACAAACACAATTCTTCAATCTATTTTATTTTTTCAAAAAATGTTTAGCTATTTCCGAGTTCGCTTCCTGAGCGGACAGACAGACCTACTAAAATAGTTCTATGTAGTTTAGCAGTAGTATGTAGCGTATACACTTTGTCCCTATGGTACTTGTTATCGACAATGTTGCTTCAAAGCTACTTACACTGCTTTTTTATCTAATATTGCTTCTATTCATTGAATACTAACATATATATACTGTAGTATGATAATACTCATAAGAAAAAGTGCATTGCATTAAAAATTTGCTTTAGAAATACCTAGTATTAGTGTTTAGCATATACCTATTATGTATCGTTTACACTTTTATTGTCTTATACAATTCTATTTATGTATATTCAAAATTGAAATACATTTGTACTGTAGTACAGTTTAGTATATATGTATAAAGAAAATAGAGCAATTTTATATTTGTTTTTGTCAGAGTTGGTTAACATGTGGTATAAGAGTAAAAGCGTAAGCGACACAGTATATACAGAGACTGCCTTATTGTATATAATGTAACCTGTTGCTTGGAACTAACCACGCTTCTATTTACTGGCATGTATATAACACTGCGGTACGATATGTATTGTAATAATAAACTCAAAGTTAAGTTATATATGTTATAGAGATACTTGGAAGAAACGACTGATGCGCGAATTGCGTACTCTTTCTTTTTTCCCTCTGTTCAAGCTAGGTCTGTCTAGGTAGCGAGCATCGCCGCCGCGCGCCGCTGCCCGCTCACCGCGCCCGCACGGTACTGACACACACACACACACACACACACGCAAACACACACACACACACACACACACACACACACACACACACACACACACACACATATGCATACAAATGTATGTCATACTCATACATAACGCAAACACCGTACACAAAATTACACTTATACAATTTGTTGTATTCAATTTAATAGGCACTGTCGATGTTTTCTGAATAGTGGTCAGTGATCTGAAAATTTTACATTGTCTATTTGCAGTTTGTAATTTATACAGATTGGATTAAGTATTGTATTTTTTTTTCAATTTTATGATTCGCAATCTTAAATTAAATTATCTACAAAATTTGTACTTAGTTGTTTAAAAAAAAACATTGTTTATTAGTTGTTTCTCGTCGACAGTGCACATAAAACACACAATCGAACTGTACTCAATTCAAAAAAACACAATAGTCCATATGACAAGGCAAGGTCAATGGAAAATGAACTGTACGAACTTTAACACAGACCTCACTTCCCAGTTACACTGACTTTCGCGTAGGACAGACTCCACATCCCCCCACACTTTAGATAGTACTTGTATTGCGTGCCTACCCCCTTGTATATTGTTCTTTGTCCACCCTCACATAACTGGCGCATAATTGAAACTAATAATTGACACGAATCCTGTGAGAATTTGACCGTTTTCAACGTGCTGCGAGGTGATTTTATCTTATTAGGACCATCGATCATTCATTTGTTATTAAAATTATAATTTTACACTTTTATATACTTACCTATTACTTGTGTAGCGGAATTGTAAAAGAAAAATCATACAAAATAATAATAATAATTTATAATTCATATTTCTCGGGGTAAACGCTGATAAATGTACTAAAATCGGTCGTACTACTGATATGGAGTCACTAACCTGCGCTATGAAAACGATAAAATAATTACATTAATCAAATAAATAAAAAAACGTTTAGCATAAACATATATATACAGTTTATTTCTATTAAAAAACCTACCACTGTTAGAAGCGATGTGAATAAAGCTCAAACATCGATAACAAGATTACGATGAAAAATATCTATAAAATTAAACATCATCGCCGTAAAGATATAAATCGATTTAAAAGTCACGTGAAATTACATCAAAACCTCAATTATCTAATCTTGTTAATCGTACGATGGCCACAAATATGCAATATTAATATTTTTAATTGAAGGTAAATTATTAAATAAATAAATATTGATTGCATATAAGAATAATAACAGATGTCAAAGTCCAATAGTATACTCAAATAGAAATCAATTAATTACTGATGTTTAAAAAGCTGCGTTTGTTTATTGTAAAACTGTGGAAAACACGCCTTAGTGTATGTAGTGATGAGAGTGCTACAGAGAGTGCCAGCATGACGTGCGGCGTGGCGAACGGCTCGCCTCGCCACGCCGCGTCCCATGACACGTTGCGGTCACACGTACAGTACAGGGTCTCGCGCTGCAGGCGTATCTTCCGCAGACTTTAATGACGACCACACCAGCCTAACTATAAACCCATCTCTCTTACCCCCGGCTATAAAGAAAGAGATAATAATGATTCGAGCTCCATTGAAAATCGTCGTTATCTGTTTCTGGAGCTTGCAATAAGAGAGAGTATTTGGCGGGGCTCGTGTTTGGTCGCGGGGCGCCAGTTATGTGGGGGATGTGTTGGGAGGCACTCGCGGCGAGTGGTTGCGGCGTGCTGACTAGTGTGCCGGCAGGTGGCGAGGAGGCGCGGCCCGTGCTGCTGTGGGGGGGCATGATGCCGCCGCCCGCGCTGCCCGTGCGCCGCCCCTCCATCATACTGCCCGACCCGCACTCGCCCGTTGGACTCAAAAGCGAGGTATGTACCACCAACTTCACCATCATTACTCCCCACAGCTCCTGCTGCCTTCGAGCAGATAATCGGACCCAAGTCAGATTACTACAGCTGCACTGGTTTGTCCGACAGCTCATTTCGCCTTGGTTAAAGTAAGTAAGGTGGACAATAACCTGTCCATCGAAGCTGGAAGTTTTAACCGCAAGCGTACTCTCCCTCCTTTCAAGGATATTTGTAGTTGTAGATAGTAACAAATTTTAAACGTTTTGATTTATTTCAATTAGATGAGGACTACTAACCCCAACACTACATTAGCACTACCCAAAATCGTGATAAGCAGTGACGAATGTTGTCCGCTGGACGGAGCACAAAACTGTACCGTGAATGTCTTCAGTATGGAGGTCATTCACTGCACAGTGAGTTATAGCTGCTACTGGACTCACCCTCCAATCACATCTTAATACTAATATTCTAACACCAGGTTTGCTTTCCTTAATATAATTATGTAAGTTCACATCATTAAATTAGCGTGCCATCTCCAGGTCGCCGACGAGACCAGCCAGCACTCGCTAGTAGACGGCGGCGAGTCGTCGTGTGGCGCTGAAGGACCAGACAAGCCAATGAGCATGTCTGACGAGCTCAACATCGTGGACCTCAGGCTCAAGTCTGAGATGTCCAGGGATTCACAGAGCCAGGTACGTCAACCACCACTCATTTATTTCAACAGACATACTTATGCCATTCATTCCATGGTTGGGACATTATAATAGTGTCTTATTTCACACATGTTTCTTCAGGTGGGTTTCGTGGGTGGCTACGACAATATAAAGCTGTCCCCAAGCACTCCGTCCGCGAGCTCGCCCCCCTCTCCCCTGGCCACGTTTACGCAGCAGTTGCAGGCCATACAGAACCAGGTGCAGACCGACAAGATGGTGGAAACTGTCACCGCCGCCATCTTCAACTCGGACGACAATGCGCCACAGATCTATCCCACCATGATGCAGCCCATGGACACCATGCGCCAATTGATCTCCTCCAAGAGCGTGGACCCGCTCGAGACCGACATGAAGGTGCTCAACCCCGAGCTCATGATCACTGAGACCTCCATGCAGCAGAACGTACTGCAGCCCGGCGAGCAAAGACTGATAGTATACAACCAGATGCAGGCCGCGGCGCAGGACGACTCCTTCCCCTTCGGGAACATGACCAAGCTAGAGATGGGCTCCACCGCCATCGAGCACCGCCTGGCCCAGCAGTCGGCGCAGATGGAGGCGCTCGTCGAGGACGCCATGAAGGCCACCGCCGCCATGCTGCCCGACAGCTCCAAGTTGGACGAGCTCGTCAACTCGCGCGTGGACGACCACCTGCAGGGCACCGCGCCCTCGCCCGCCGCCTGCAGCGCGCAGCCCGACCTGCTGCCGCCCATGCCGGCGTCCGCCATCTCGCCCGAGGTCATCCTCAACCCGCAGGTGTCGCCCAGCATGCTCTGCGAGTCGACGCAGCGCATCGTGATGCCGGCCGGGCCCTCGCAGGACGAACTCATGATGATCCAGGACCAGGTGCAGCTCACCTCGGTGAAGACTCCGCCCGCCGCCGTCAAGTCCATGATCCTGAACGCCGCCGCCGAGATCCTCACCTCCGACACCACCATGAACGCGCTCGTCACGTCGGCCATCAACACGGCCAATATACTCACCACGGAGAGCGTGTCGGGCTCGTCCGGCATGCAGACCACAGACTCGGCCCAGCCGCCCGCGGAGCCGGCGGGGGAGACCCCGCTGGTGGCCATGTCGCAGGCCGTGTCGCAGGCCGTGACCCAGGCCGTGTCGCAGGCCGTGTCGCAGGCGGTGTCGCAAGCCGTGACGCAGGAGATGACGGCGCCCGTGCAGGGACTCACCGACATGAGCGACCAGGACCTCCTCTCTTACATAAACCCCAGCACGTTTGACCAAGGTGAGTACATGGACGTCTACTACAACTAGTCAGGCAGTCGCGCCGATCCGAACCCACGCTCAGTCACACGTAGCTCAACATGGATGGACGCTCCCTTATGTAAATATATTATAAATAGTTCATACATATTGCATACTAACCGATAGTACCCGCAGTGCATTGGCCGTAGCGTCGCGAGTTCGGATCCACGAGGCTTTCTTGTATTCTCATTTGTTAAACATTCTAATATTAACTGCAGTAGTTTTAGCTAATCTAACAATAATGTACCAACCCGAAACGATCCACTGTCTCGCTTGGTACATTATTGGTGGCAACTTTTAATTGAAAATAACATTTTGTTTGGTATATTAGAGTTGAAAGTATTTGTGGTAATTGATTTCCTGTACAATACTACTTGCATCTGTGACGCTCCAATAAATAAATGATCCCAGTTGTTGCTAACAAATGACAATGTTTATTTATTGCAGTGTAAGGCTCGCGTCGCCGATAGTTCCCGGATAGTGGCGGGACACTTTGCCTACTGAATGCATTTCTTGTGTCGAGGGCTCAAAAGCAGTTTTTATGTGAATTTTTAATGGATGTCTACGTAGAAGTAAAGTATTTAGCAAATAGAGAATATAATCTCCGGACGTGTGGATGTCGTGTCGCTATGATTCTCAAGTTGAGCTTGGTAACTAATAGTGTTTGGTCGTCAATTAATGAATCGTGTGAGTCAGTATTACAGGGCAAATCAATTTGAACACGTCACACTAACGAATTATTGTGGATCTACCGAGTGTGTGTGGGATATACCAGACATAGTTACATTCATCTTATACTACACCGACTATATTGTTGACAAATCCTATATTTATTGTACAGATAGTAGTCTACATGTGTGAACCCTAGGTCTAATACGGATGTATGTAATCGCGCAATGATTGCTAACGCAGCGGAACCCATTGTGTGTCTATGTGTTAAGGAACTAATCATACGTTGTCTTGTACGTAGGATTTATACTTTATGTATGTAGAACACAAGTATTGTATCAGGGCTGCAGCCCCCGAGATCCTCCCTTGCTTCTGTATCAGAAATGATAATTTACAATTTGTAATTTTGTCTCAGATTACGTGAATTTAGTGAAACTTCAGAATTGGACAACATTCTACAACAAGAACTGCGTCGGTTATACGTGTTGATTGACATGTCACCTCTCCTTGCCAGCCACCACTTCACGCCATTGCGATCTTGCGCCGTTTGTGGCTCGATGGCAGATACGACCAGTATTGTCCCTCCCGATCACTCAGTGATACGAAACTCGGTTTCATACTAAGTCTAAGTGATTAGATTAGCCGGACCTAATTCTAAGTCCCTCCGCAGTTAGGCAGGATCTATATATTATTTACAAGACGTATTTATTGATATTACACGCTCACTAGCATCGAGCTAAACTTTCAACAAACCAAAAAGTTTTGAAAATTTTTGATAATAAATAAAACATATAAAATTATCATTTCTTTTACGGGTTTTTCAAGTTATTACTGTACACAATACGAGGCGTTGTGGTTTGGGCAGTGTTACCTACATAAGCTATAATCACTCTTTTCTACCCCCAAAGGGGTAAGTCTTTATTGTTAAGACCTAAATATGAATTGGTGGTTATTATATAGGTAACATTGTTCAATCCTTGACTATTTATATATTACAATCTAAATGTTTACTAAATCATATTTGAATGTAAACTTTTAAACATGATGCTTTTGGTGGCGAATAGTCAGTTGACTAATCAGATCATTATAATGTTCACTGCAGGACATTGGCATTATTTATTTACATAATTTTGACACGATTTTTAGACCTAATTAGAAAAGTAAACCAAATTTTGATTAAACTGACTATTCGCCTCCTACAGTCAAACAAGATTCGATCCTATGTATGATTAGCTTTAAAGTATATATTCCCGAGCATACATCGAAACGCCACTCAATTGAAGCACTACATAACTAAATAGTATATTTTTATAATTATGTTGTATATGATTGTGATATGTAACTGAATATACATATTAATCAACGTAGTAGTTAATTTTTTTTATAAGTGTAAGGAAATTGTACTGATGTGATGTTAGAGCAAAGAGTATATTAAAAAAATTATGTTATGAACATTTATTATTAATTACAAAATGAGTTTTTTATAGAGTCGAATGCTACATATTTGTGCCATTTAAATAAATGTAAACGTTAGATATATGTTAGTGTATGAAGCATATCGATAGAGTTGTACCTACTATTGGTTTGTGGCCGACGTGATGATGTAAGCGTGCCTGTACGACGCCCCACTGCTCAGACATAAGCGACGCGCGTTAGCGGGCACTAGCGCGTCACGATCGCATTCGCACGCTAACGCGCTACCGCAAATCACGCCAAAACGGCTAATAAAAGTCTTTAGCGACGAGTGCTTTTGAAGCACACGTCCTTTTGGTCATATACTTGGACAAAATACGACATAATTATTGCCATTAAAACATATTAAAATCAAACATTTTACATGGCTATTTTTTGCTATACGACACTCTATTTATGGCAATGATTATGTCTAGTTTTATATAAACATATACATTATACAGTATTTCAATCGGGGACCATGCAAATATAAATTATACACACAATATACAAGATAGACAATATATATATATATATATATACAAGTGTACAAAACATTTTATACTGAATATATTTGACGCACCAAATACAATGTCGATGAATTTATATGTACTGTTATGAATAAACGAAAATTTTACCTAAACGTATATTTATTATTGTTAAACGCGGTGCAAATTATATAATATTGTTGTGCTACGAGGTGACAAATTTAAATGTGTCATTTTCTAAGGAATTATGCACAATGTTCATCAAGTATGTACCCGGGAATCTCCTGTCTTCCTCTCAAGTCTTTCTGAATGTGTTCTGCATTGTATATTTGTATCCAAGCGACATCACATTTCATTGTATTTTATACTTATTTTGTTAGTCTTCCATTTTGTCTGTCTGACATTTGAAAACCTGTTTATGTAACCTGTGAATTTATTTATTTTTAAAGGGAGAAGATAGTTTAGTGTTTGTGCTAAGTAGAAATCTATGTATTAAGAAATGTTTTTAATGAAATTAAGTAATTATTAAATTAATTAGTATTTTTATCGTAGCGCTTAAAATTTCGCCTATTGTTTCTCAAAGGGGTGGACAGAAGATACATTATATAATATAGTTCGTAGATTGTAAGAAAATTGGTTTACACCGAAAATGTTCTTCTAGAAAGATTTTGCGTACCATATTGTATATTTTGGAGTTTAAATGTAAATGGTAAACTATCTTCTTCGTTTGAAAGTTTCCGGTGTAACGTGTTAACCGTACTGCGTACTGTGGACGTACAGTTAGATCTCTAGTCGGTCTAAATCGATGAGTGCTATTGCAGAGCGAGTTCGTCAACTATGTTATTTGTTTTGATGTAATTAATAAATGTTATGAAAAATGTCGACTGCATTTTATTTTTATCCCAAAATCAATTTATATAAGCGTAGTCGAGCAAGTCACAGCGTAATAAATCTGAAATGTGCCAAACGAAAGTCAGAAATAATTAAAAATCCAACCGGGCGTGTGACTCTCAGGCCAAGGTCTGTCACTCCCACCCTGTCTGTCTTCATTTTTTTTATGGAATAATAGGCGAATGATCAGACGGATCACCTGATGGTAAGCGATCAGCTCAAGTCTAATCTCATCTAATGTTTTTGAAAAGTGGGAGGTCTCGCATATATCACCCTATTTTTCCCCAAATGATTATCGGAAAACGATGCCTTTTAATACCATAGTTTTATCGATAACTTCGTTTCGTACTAACGTACAGACCTAATAGTTTCTATCTATCGTTTTATGAAACATGAATGAATCGATGAATTTATGTAATTGCAACAGCACTTTTACACATCAACTTAAAATATAAAAAAATAAAAACCCAGATGATGCCGGCTTTCCTGTCTGGCTGTGAGAAAAAATACCAAAACGAACTCAGAGATCAGTCTCTTTTAAAGTTCAGACAATGTTATGTGTGAGAATCGTGCAAGTTCATCCTGTATTGACCTCTCTTATGAGGACCACACCAGTTTAAGTGGTCCGGGTCTGTAGGCAGGCAGGCAAGTCTCATTTTACAACCAACGGGTGTTGCTAAATTGTCCGACGAACAATGCCGACTTAAAGAACCTTTAGGTAGTTCGTACAAATACTTAAACTGATAACTGATAACTAGTACCTATTAGTTCAACTTAGAATATTATGAAAATACTTAAAGAAATATGACGTCTCGACGTGATATTTCATACAAAATTCACATAAACTTATTTTTTAACATTTCAGGAAGTATTAAATTTTAATTTTAATCAAAAAGAGTTACTTTTGCTAATAGTAAATTTATCATAATACTGAAAATGTCATAAAAATATTTTTCACAGGTAAAACTGCCAAATTGCATAAATACAACTCATGTTGGTTATATATATACCCTTGAAATAAAACTCACAAAGTATTGCAACATTGCACCTCATTTAATTCAATTACATAATCCTATTTTATACATACATCATATGTATATGAGCGTAATATTCATAATTGCCTATTACAATAAAATTATACTATAACATAACCCCGAATTACTTACATAAGAAATAGTTTCATTTATTTTGGGTCCAGTCATTTGGTGCGAAAATAAAGCTTGCCTGAAAAGATATCTCGAAGTTTTGGAAATTAGTTAATAAGTGTGCTGATTAAACAATTTTCAAAGTTAAAGAATTAACCATGATTGATATAACTATGCAGTTCATTTAAAGTATCCATTATTTTCAGCTAAGTATGAGTGGTGGATGGTAGTATCATTATATAGAAAGTATGAAATTCTACATTAATACCCGGTTCCAAGAACCCAAGTCATCTGATTGGTTGTTGATAATTCAGTCAACCAATCAGGTGACTTGACAAGAGATTAAATTAATTTTAACATTGATCGGCCTTTGGTAAAACCGGGCAAAAAATTTCTTTCTAAGACATGCATCGTACTTTATCGATACCTCAATGAAAGGGTATTTCCAAAAAAATAATAGGCGCCATGACTTGTCACATTATGGCGGGAAAGAGTTAAAAAACAAAATTTAAAATTCGAATACAACGCATCGAAATATAACAATTTCCAAAATTCTGGATTAGGCATTTCAGGTATAAATTAATATCAAATGACTGGACAATTTAGTTTACAATAAATATTGATATATATATAACGTTAAATGCCCATGTACGAACATAGCGTGAAGGTACAAAATAGTACGAATATTATTAATAGGATGGCAACCCAAGCAGGTACAGTACCTGTAAATAAAAACACATTGTTAAAATTATATTTGGAAAGAGCAAAATCAGAATAAATATACAATATAAATCTATCTCTCTTTTAAGTGTTGGAGCCATGCTTCGGCACGAATAGGTCGGATCGACCGGAGTGATACCACGGCCTTACAGAAAACCTGAGTGAAACAACCACAGCGTTGTGTTTTACCGTGTGAGTTTACCGGAGGCCCAATCCTTCCCAACCCCCCACATGGGCACTCGTAGCACCAAAGGAGCTACTACAAGTGCGTTGCCGGCCTCTCGTAGGTTATTAAGTCTTTAACGATAGGGGATTAGTATTGAGGATGGGGGGAGAATTGAAAGAAACACAAAGAAAATATTGCTTCACTCTGGTTTCCTGTGAAAAATAACTGGTACCCGCTGGTCGTCTCCATTTGATCGTAGCGTGATGTTTTATAGCCTTTAGTACTCAGGAACATTGTATCTATCTATCAGTAAAAGAATTTTGGCAATCCGACCACCGGTTCTAAAGATTACCTAAAGATACAAACTTAAAAATTGTTTCTCTTTATAATATTAGTATAGATAAATAGTATTGAGGTGATACTGACTTCTGTGCGGTAATGAGTGCACGCAGAGACAGTTGTCGACGGAAATGGAGAGCAGCGCGGCCTCGGAGCGGCTGGTGATGGGCGGCCCGTAGCCCCGGACAGGCAGGAACTCCAGCCCCGTCACGAACATATTGTGCGCGTTCTTCACGTGCAACACTCGCTGGAAGTGTGAAGTATACAGTATTACAGACACTTAAAAGGTTAAATTAACACAAAATATATATTGGAAAGCTTTCGAGTAAAACAAATATTCAAAAATCAAATAACAAATTAATAATTTAAAAAAATAGACATTGCAGGTATTCCCCGATTAAAAAG